CTCGTCTGCCGCGAAAGAAGAAAAGAGTGGGACGGTCTCGCGACGAAACCTCCGTCGAGCCGGACAGAGACGGACGAAGAAACAGGTCGGAGGAGAGAAGAGAGAGGATGGTCCCGAGGGTGGAAGAGCATCCCTCTCGGCGGCGTCACCTCGAGGGCCCAATTAGCGCGAGCACGAGTGTCATTCCGCCGCGGTTTCCGCATACTGGCTGCCGTTGACTGGCGTTTTCTGCGGTTTCGCGTTTCTCCCACGTAGAGGCCGTTATGCACACACACCGTGCGTGAGCCGCATCTTCTCTCGCTCACCCCCGCGTCGTTCACCACCAGGGCCCCTTCCTATCACTCACTCACTGACTGGTCCTCGATTTTTTCGCTCCTCTCCCCCTCTCACCTGCTTTCACTCCCACTTGCCCCCGGCTTTTCTTCCTTTTTCACCGTCCGCCGTGCTCAGCCAGAGCCAGGAGGCCGTCTCCTGCTCACGGAGAAAGAGAGAGTGTATTATCCAATTTTCTAGCAGATATTTCACGATATAATAATTGGGCATTCAACGCGAGCCTTCCCTTCTTCCCCCCGCTGCTCGGCCTCTCTGCTCGCCTTTCACCGGGAGAGGATCGTTGAATTATATTCCCCAGAGCAACGGGCGAGGGGCTGAGTGCAAACGGGCAACGAACGAGGGCCAACCCGGTACGGGGCACCAATGGAAACATTTTCCATCGTAGAATGCGTTGGATAGCGTAAGGATCGTCCCTCTTTCTTCCCTAACCCCGTTCGACTCTTATACGCCGTCTCTGTTCTCTCCGCCGTTTTCCAATCCTCTCCTTTTCGTTATTCTTCGACCGGGTGGTCTCGATTCCACCACCGACTCCCGGTGTCCTTTTCACTCCCTCGCTCGGAGGAACTTACTTCGTCTTCACTTCGGTGGTGCCTCTTCTCCGGTTATTTCCATAACGACACTTTAAGCAACGTTAATTATTGTCGGCGTAATGAGCTCGAGGAAGTCTTCCAAGACGCGGATTCGCTCCGCGCTCTTCGACTTCTCTTCTACTCGTCTTCTTCTTCTTTGCTTCCACCGTTTCTTCCCTTCCCTTCATCTCTGGCTGCTTGTTCGCGGAATGTCAAAGGCTATCTCTTTCTCCTTCTACGTGGCAATCCCACGGGATATCACGCGGATCTGCATCACCGCGTCTTTCCACGGAGCTGATCTCGTTAAGGGACCTCCTTCGTTCTAACATCGGCACCCGGTTCCGCCTTGTTAGCGCGTCTCGGCGAGTTTAGCCTCGCGACTCAACTCGCTTTTTCAACCGAGATTCGATGACGACGCATCCGAGGAAATGAGTTTTTAGACTCGCCAGGGAAAACTGTCGGTTGATGACCCGTTACAGTTAGTCCTGTGTAATTTGATAATTGAATCGCCTCGACACTTGCGAAAACTATTTCTTTTTTAAGAAATTACGTATCGTTAAAGTTTCATTTGAAGAAACATCTCGCACGCACCGATCTAATATATCTGATGTATCTGATGATCTAATGTATCGGTATAAACGTTCGAGAACCAGTGATTTTATTGAAATTCCATCGTTCGTTTAACACAGTGGTAATCGAACCTTGGTTTATTTTCGACTTCCTAGTTATATGTATAAATACGGGATGACAGGTACGGTCTAACTTTTTCTTCTGAAAGATCATACGACAATACACGGCACGGTATCCTAACGCGGCGTGCACCATAGGAATTAAGAGAGCGAATGATCCCTTAAGTCCTGCAGGAATTATTTCTACCCGTGACGTGGTTGCGCCTAGGGCGACAATAATGCCCGGCTTTAGGCTGCTTCAGCTGTCAATCAGACCGCTGTCTGTCCTCGTTTTATTGACCGTTGCTCGATCGGGCTTCGTTATAATAGCTGTTTGGGGAACCTCGATCGTTGCCACGAGATCGATCTAGGAAATCCTCCGGAGAAGCTTCGTAACACCACCAGTCTTATTACGTAGAATTGTACAGTTACTTTCAATCAGTTCGCATCATCCAGCACCATTTTTCAATATCGTAGCCAAATTCCAAGAATTCGCTCGATATTCTTTTCTCTCACTTATTCTCTACAATTTAAACAAATTTGAAGAAATTCGAAATATTCGCAACATTACGATCAAACTGTGGGAGTTTTATAGAAATTTATATCTCCATAGACGCGATTAAAGAGCGAGGACTCAAAATGGTGATCTATTTTACTTACTAAAAAGAAATTACGCGAGTACTGTACTTGGCTACGTCGTTCGACGCCTCCCCTATAATCGACTGAAAATAGCAACGACCTCGTTAAACGATGACGCCTCGATTTCTGCCTGTTTTGAGAACAGAAGCGACGTCGATTCGTAAGGCGTTAACCATCATCGAGAGTGGTTGATAAAAAAGAGATTGAAGTGGGCCGAAAGTGGGAATGCACAATGACGTCGTTAGGTATGGCAGCAGCCGCGACACAACTCTTTCCCGTTACTTGGTGTACCGAGTGTCATTCAATTGCACATCCCAATTAAATAACAGGCAAAAGGGCGACGTAGCGTCGCGTACAGTCCCGACGCCCCCTAATTGCGAGCTTGGAGAAGGCTGGAACAGCCACCAAGAGAGGGCTGAGAGGACAGCAGATAAACACTCGGCGCAGGGGTTCAGACTTGCCGAATCGCGGAGATTACGCTCTTTTTCAATTCACAGCCCCTTTTTTCGTCGCTCTGCAAAAGAATATCGGAATACCGCGTGAAAAGTACGAATTAATAGATCCAGCGGCGAGAAAAAATTCACGGGAATCTTGTAAACGAGTTCCCTCTGTGAAAATTAGAATCGTTAATGCCCGCTGACTGTTCGGACGATGTTTCCACTCACGACAGGGTGAAATTTCGAGTCGCTTGGCGCTCAGAGGAAAAAGAGGTCGCGGCTAATACGAGGTACACGCGGGGTGTTGCTTTCGAATTTCCGAAAAAAAAAAGAAAACACGCAACTCGCGCGTCGAAGGTACGCCGCGTTCGTGTGCACGCTCGCGTTACGACGACCCGTACGTGTACACGGCATAGCCATTTCTCTCTTGTACCGTATTAAAAAGTAACGTAATTAGCACAGGCAAATGAACTAATTACCAGAATACGAATGTCGAGGCAAGCTGACAAAAGGGCTGCTGAATTCGTCTCATTCCCTTCTTCCGGACTACTCTGCCATCTTTCTCTCGGATTTTACCAACGCCATGTAACTGCCGGCGAAGGGAACGTCGAAGTAGAGAAAAGGATTTAAGCCAGGTTATGGATAGTTGATAGACGAGGACAGGCGATTTAAACGGATCTTCCGAGGATTGAAAGTTTCATTAATCTTATTACGTTCGTTGGATTTTCGACCCAATTATCTTTCTTAGTATTGAACAATTACTTGGGTAAAATATACGAAAGGTCGATAATTTCTCGTTTCGAGTTTATGTAAATTTTTTAAACGTACATTCTGTTTAACTCCGATATATTCCTCGAGGATTTGATCATCGTTGCAGTTGTAAGATGACACAGATGACGAAGATACACGATGACGACGACGATGAAGAAAATAACGAGGATGATGAAGTGAGCATTTGCAATAAAAAGGAATATCGCCAGTAGGATAAATAAAATATACATTTGTCAATGAACATATGAAAAGTTTGTCTGTTACTGCGTATAAGATCAAACGTTCGATGACAATTCTAATCGTTTCCATAATATTGGAAGACGACAATCGCCTGAATCAAACAAGTTCTCATCGATATCATCACACGTCGAGTGTTCGCCGAGGCAAGTTTCAACGTGGTACCAAAGCATCGACATCGAAGTTCTGCCGGTCCCGTGGCGATTTTAGCGTGGAATCGTTGGTGCGCTTTTGGAATGGCAAAGTTCAGAGGTCGTTTCTTTCAAGCGACGTTAAAAAAGACGGCTGCCCCTTTAGGTACGGCACTGCAAAGCTGTCGGAAACGAAACGAAACGGAGGGGCCGTGGATGGCAGATAGCGAGCGGTGGATGGCGCAAAATGGAAACGTCGTAATTAGTATGCGCGTCCGCACGTTATGCACGCAACGGCACTCACTTCGCAACCACCCTCGGCGCCGTGGCAGCGACAGCGCGGAGGTGGGACGAGGATGGAGGCGGAGGTCGGTGGTTGAGAAGAGCGGTGACGAGCGGAGGTGGGTGTGG